TTTCCAGCCTGCACCTACTTCGGCCAACATTGTGTGACGAGACAATCAGTGACTAGGCATAAGTAACACGTGTCCCAACCATCTCAGTCAATGAAGGTTCATAACCTTGTCAACCAAATTACCTCTTCTCCCTACAACTCTACCTTTGACTTCTGCATTACTCACATGGTGACACCACAGAATACGTCCTATACTACGAAGGCAACAGTGGTCAAACACTTGAATCCTTCACATGTCTCCCACCTTCAATGGCCACGTTCCACAGAACAGAGAGGACTGCTGTGAATGTGAAGTACATGCAATCCTTAATAGACAAATGGATATCACGGCGGCGCCATAGGTGGCGTAAATTGGCAAGAGCCAATCGAGCCTTTTGTATCCGTGCAGAGATTTCATCGGCAACTGATCCACCGGGGTTGATCCTACTTCCCAGGCAAGTGAAGTGGTCAACGTATTCAACCACCTCACTCTCTATTGTAAGCCGCGGTACCGCTGAAGACCAGTCCTGGAGCAAAAATTTGCATCTTGTCAGCGTCTTAACTTAACAGGACTATGTCATCTGCATATTCTAGGTCTAACGAAAATTCTCCTGTGATTAGGTTAACGTCTGTGTAACCAGGTGACGAGAGGGAGACTTTCATAAGAATACCTATGGTGATGGAATAAGAATGGAGATAGTGGGCAGCCTTGACGGACACCATTCGATGAGTATAGTTCCCTGGAGATCTTACCATAGGCTCCAATACGCCCACAAGTGTTCGAAACTCACTTCATACTGAAGTTAGTGTTGTGGATGATGTCGCTGTCTAGAAAAAGGTTGAAAGCTTCACGACTAAATAACCTAGCTCAAAGAACACAATACAACCAAGAAAGCTGTATAATCCCAAAGCCATATATTTTTTCGGGTGTAGAGATTTGATAGTTAAAAACGGTTTGTCAAGTATGACAACACAAATAGTGTCAATCATATGAGCTGTCATTAAAATCAAAAACTGATGAGTAGTGAATATTAATCAAAATAAGTCTGAACAAAAAGTTTCATAATATGACCCAAGGGAGAAATTTTCGTATCTGATCACTTCTATGTGCATATAACAGTTGACCTACTTTAGTGGAACCAAGTATATAGGTTGTTCGACGTGACTGTTATCCAAAAGGGTTCAAGAACACTGTCCTGTGTGTGGTTACAATGAAGTAACAATAGAGCGATAAGGATTACTATAATTGAACACGTTGTCAAGATGAATCATGCTATCTCAAGAAACTCCTCGTTTAAAGTCATCTATAAAGTGGAAAGAAATCTCCCGAAGGTTGTATGTCTTCATATTCTTTCAGCGAACAGTCCCTTTTCGAGGATTTCACTTTCAAAGTTCTACAGTGGTAAATTTATGCATTTTTCTAGTGTAAGGATTTGATAGTTAAAAATGGTTGGTCAAGCATGGCAACACAAATTATTATTATTATTATTAGTCCCTTGGGTTCCTAGTGGAACATACAGATTCAGTAGCATGTCCCCATTCCACTCTGTTCTCTGAGATCTTTTGAACCTGGTTCCACGACTGCCCACAACCTCTCATTTCCTGCTCGCACGACCTTCTCCATGTAACCCTCACCTCGGACACCCAACTCGTCGCTTCCTATCGGGATACCACTCGAGGGCCTGACGTGTGATGTCCCCAATCGGCCTTCTCAGTGCATGCCCAATCCATCTCCACTTCCTCCTGCATATTTGTTGGGCGATAGGTTCTTCGTTGGTTCGTTCCCAGAAATCCTTGTTGCTTATTCTCACTATTCTGGCCATCTGATCTTCAGTAGCGAGCCAGTGTAGGCAGTTGTTGATGAATATCTGTAGTTTATTGGAAATCCCTTTCGTGACGCGCCAAGTCTCTGAACCATACAGAAGCACTGACTTGACGTTGGTGTTGAAAATCCGTATCTTGTTCCACATGCTGAGTGCATTAGATCTCCACACTGGTTTCAGGCTAATCAACGCCTGTCTTGCTTTTCCGATTCTGACTTTGATGGCAACACAAATATTGACTAGTAACTATTAATCAAAATAAGTTTGAACAAGAAGTTTCAACAATAATTGGAAACTAAATTATAATCATACAGAGCAGAAGCAACAAAAATTAGCAGCAAATTGATTAACAAGTGAATAGTCTTAAAACAGAAACATGATAAGAAAAGAAGGGGGGATAGGAGAGATTTCAGAGATCGAAAACTAAGACTAGGAGAGGAGAAAGGATTGAACAATCTTTTTTTGAGTACATAAATCAGGCTTCTACGTTTGGCTGGTAAGAGTTTCGGCGATGCAGAGAATATGAAGGCACACAGCCTTCGGGAGGTTCTTGAGATAGCATGATTCATCTTGACAACGTGTTCAATTATAGTAATCTTTATCGCTCTATTGTTACTTGTTTGTAACCACACACAGGACAGTGTTCTTGAACCCTTTTGGATAACAGTTACGTCGAACAACCTATATACTTGGCTTACATGATTGACACTATCTGTGTTGCTTCACAAACCATTTTTATCTATCAAATGCTTACACTAGAGAAATATATGACTTTGGGATTGAAAATGAAATCGCAGGAAGAAGACTGTTCACTGAAATTCTTACTTGTTCCACCTTGAAGTTATAATATGTATTTTTAACACGATGATGTTTATTTTCATACTGTCATTATATATGGACAGTCAAGTCAGTGCTTCTATTTGATGGCTGAGAAACTTGGCGCGTTACGAAAAGCATTTTCAACAAACTACAGTCATTCATCAACAGCTGCCGTCTACGCTCACTCCATACTGAAGATCAGATAGCCATAAAGAATAAGCAACAACGAACCAACCAATCAAGAAACAATCACTCAACAAACACTGAGAAGACCATTAGGGGAATCTAGATGGGAAACGACGAGTTGGGCGTCCCAGCTGAGGGTGACATAGAGGAGATGGTGTGAAGAAAAAATGAGAGCTTCTAGGCTGTCGTGGAGCCAGGTTCAAAAGATTGCAGAGAACAGAGTGGAATGGAGACGTGTTACTGAAGCCTTATGTTCCACTAGGAACCCAAGGGACAAATAATAGTTATAATAATGAACAATGTGACCTGTGATTTGTTACCTATTAACTATTTAGACAATCGATAATTTGTACAGGTTTTTCTTCTCTGAAGAAGCGGTTTCTTATGAAGTAAAATAACTTTAGAAATTTATTCTTCTACTTCATTTGGATTTTACAAGTATATATTTTTTTAAATGATCATTAATAATGATAATTTGGTTGGTTGTGGCTAGCAGAAGAATCCAACCAATTTATCATAATTAACATTCAGGCAATATGGAGGTATCCGCATAAGAGCCCATACGCCAATAGAGGTCGAACAATTCGATCCAACATAACAAACAACTCAGAATAACAAGTATATCAATAAATAGTAATAACTACTACCCACTGTACAAGAAGTGGCTATCGTTCCTCCTTCGCATAGTGAATAACGTCTTGGCGTTTGAAGCGATAAATATGAGGCTCGAGTCTCACTGGTAACATCATCACTCCGCACTGGGGGTGCAGGTACATCCAGCTGATTAATGAGTCCCAAATAGGACGAACCGCGCATCTTGGATTCTTCTGCTGACCATAAACAACCAAATTATCAAAATTAACATTCAGGCAATATCAAGGCATCCTCATACCGGCCCATACGCCAACAGAGGTCGAAAAATCCGATCCAACACAACAAACAACGGAGAATAACAATGTATGTCAACAAATAGTAATAACTACTACGCGTTGTACAATAACTTGCTATCGCTATCCATTAGGCTAATTAAGCACGATATCCACCTCTTGTACAATGGGTATTAGTTATTACCATTCGTTCATATACTTGTATTTCTCCGTTGTTTCCCTGGATCAAATTGTTCGACGTCTATTGGCATATAGGCTCCTGTATGCGGACAGCTCGATACTGACTGAATGTTAATTATGATAATTTATTTGGTTGTAGCTAGAAATGGAATGCAAGACGCACGTTTCGTTCTATTTTGGACTCGTTAGTTGGATATACCTATCTCCTCAGGGTGAGTGATGTTTTTCCGGACGGGACTCGAGTCTCAGTCGAGTCCTAAATAGGACGAAACGTTCATCCTGGATTCTTCTGCTAGCCACAATCAATCAAATTATCATAATTAACATTCAGGCAATATCGAGGCATCCATACAGGAGCCCATATGCTAATAGAGGTCGAACAATTCAATCGAAGAAAAGAAACAATGGAGAATAACGATGTATGTCAATAAATAGTAATGATAATCATTATTAATGTGTTAATCAACGGGAAAAACTTTAAGGAAGTTGTTTCTTTCATCTATCAAGGCAGTACTGTTTCAACTACAGGCGGCACAGACGAGGATGTCAAAACCAGGGTCGGAAAAGCAAGAGAGGTTTTCATCAACCTGAAACCAGTGTGGAGATCTAATGCACTTAACATGTGAAACAACATCCGGATTTTCAACACCAATTCAGTCAAGTCAGTGCTTTTGTATGCCTTAGAGACGTAGCGTGTTACGAAAACCATTTCCAACAGACTATAGATATTCATCAACAACTGCCTACTCTGGCTCGTTACTGAAGATCAGATGATCAGAACTGTGGGAACGACCCAAACAACGAAAGAAAAACCAATCAGTCAACAAATATGCAGAAGGAAGTGGAGATGGATTAGGCATACATTGAGAAGGCTAACTGGGGACATCACACTTCAGGCCATTTGCTTGAGTGGAACCCAGATGGAAAATGACAAGTTAGTCGTCCGAAGTGAGGATGACATGGAGGAGATCGTGCGAGGAAGAAATGAGAGCTTGTGAGTTGTCGTGGAACCAGGTTGAAAAGATTGGAGAGAACAGAGTGTAATGGAGGCATGCTACTGAGTCCGTATGTTCCACTAGGAACCCAAGGGATAAATAATAATAATAATAATGTGTTAATAAACTTACATGATTAGTGAATTCAGTCAACTGATCTACTTTAATCATTGTTCCCCAATTCCAATCAGTATTTAAATTCAAATCATTGACAATTGTACACTGTAATCTTTGCATTATAATTTCTACTGACTTCATAGAAGATTGTAAATGTGTATTCAACTTATTTGTTTCATCCAATTGGTTTCGTATAGTTTGATTAACAGTTATTTGTTTACTTAAACGTTGATCTAATTCTGTAATATAAGACTATAGGCAAGAAAGACTATAAGTTATAATATCCCTTTTCATTCACTTATTTAACTAATTAATAATAGTAATTACAAACAATAGTAAGTTAGTAATAATAGATTACTTTATAATAATGTGGTCAATTTCTAAATGGTATATAAAATGATTACTCTATCTATGGTATATACTAGTTCAGTCAAAGCAACTAATCAGATTTAGGTAGAATGAGTATTGCATCATTTTATTCCATATTATCAAAACAAAGAAACGAATATCAAGAAATTTATATATAATTCTCAGAAATGTTGAAATTAATGAAAATAATGGTAATAAGTCGTGACCGATGGTGCAAAGCCTGATGGTCATGAGGACAATGATGACACTGGCTGGCGGTTGTGCTATATCGTGAGCTAACACAAGTTGGAAATATAGAGCATTGGATTGTGACCCAGTGGCTAGCTCAGTGGTAACGTGTTGGCCACGGAATCTGAAGGTCGCGGGTTCGATCCCTGGTGAGGTTGCGGGTGCGCACTGCTGAGGAGCCACATACTAGTTGGATGAAACAGCTGTCCAGTGCTATCACACTACCCTAGTTTTACATTAATAATAATTTTTTCTTTGTTCATAACATATTGAGAACAAATTAAACTGGACTCACTTCTTTAGCTTCTAATTTCGCACATAAAGATGATAATTGACTAGTTGCTAAGTCTCGTTCATATTTCATTTTAATTAATTCCTTTTGTGTTGTATCTAACACAGATTCCGGTGCTTTTCTACTGTTTACGTCTGAACTCTAAAATTAATGATTATTATGCGAAATAACTTTTGAAATTAACCTTTAATATATTAGATAGGTGAACAAACAATAAATTGTAAAACATATTGAAAATTGACTTTCAAAGTAATATCATATTATGTTATTTGTCTCTTGGGTTCCTAGTCGAACATATGGACTCAATAGCACACCTCCATTACACTCTCTTCTCTCCAGTCTTCTCAACCTCGCTTTATAACTGCCTAAAACCTCTCATTTCTTCCTCATACCATCCCCTCCATGTCATCCTCACCTCGGATGCCAAACTCACCATCTCCCATCTGCGTTACACTCGACCAACTGGTCTGGCGCATGATGCCTCCAGTCGGCCTTCTCAGTGTATGCTCAATCCAATCCATCTTCACTTCCTTTTTCTGCATATTTGTTGGGCGATGGTTTCTTGCTTCGTTGGTTGGTTCGCTGCCAGCCGCAGTGAGTTCCTTGTTGCTTATTTTAACTATTCTGGCTATCTGAGCTTCAGTAACGAGCCAGTGTAGGCAGTTGTTGATGAATATCTGTAGTTTGTTGGAAATGCTTTTCGTGACGCGCCAAGTCTCCCAACCATATAGAAGCACTGACTTGACGTTGGTGTTGAAAATTTGGATCTTGTTCATGCTTTATGCTGAGTGCAGAAGATCTCTACACTGGTTTCAGGTTAATGAAAGCCTGTCTTGCTTTTCCGATCCTAGAATAGAATTCGATAGAATGTTTACGCATTTATCTTTGAAATTTTTATTAAAGCTTACTGGAATAAGAGAAATTGGAAAGCATTGAGCTTAAATTACATCCCGCTAGAGTATTGCTGATATTATACTGGTGATACGTATTGCAAAAACGTACCTTTCGCTGTATACCCTTTCAATAGAGATGTTAGTCAGGTGCTAATTTTCACTTGATAAAATGTTGGACAAGAAACTTTTACTTTCTTGGCATGAACGTTATTTAAATTAATGTAATAAAAGTAAAACCCACAAAAAGGCAATAAACAAAAGTTAAAATGTTTGTTTGTGATAATTTTTTTATAATTTCACTATCTAAGATAGCCGTAGTATAAGGGTTTTTATATCATACCGTCGTTGATTGGACCGAATTGGTCGGTTTCTATTGGCATATGAGCTCCTGTACAGATGCCTCGATATCACCAGCAATCTGATTATGTTAAGGATGGATCGTGGCTAGCAGTGGAATCCAGGATGCGCATTTCGTCCTATTTGAGACTCGTCAGCTGGATGTACCTGCTTCCCAGTGAGTGTTGTTCCCACCAGGATTCGGACTCGGGAGCGATCGCTTCAAACGCCAACGCGTTATCCACTACACCAACGAGCCACGATAGCCACTTCTTGTGCGACGCGCTGGCGTTTGAAGCGATCGCTTCTGAGTCCAAATCCTGGTGGGAACAACATCACTTACTGGAAGCAGGTACATCCAGCTGACGAGTCTCAAACAGAACGAAATGCGCATCCTGGATTCCACTGCTAGCTACGATCCATCCTTAATATAAGGTAGTCGTAGTTTGGCAGACTATTATTTGTAATGGGTGATGAGTGAAGGTGAAACTCTTGGTGGCTGATGTGAAATCCACTACAAATACTAGTCTATCAAACTACGGCAATCTCAGATAGTCAAATCATAACCAATATGATGCTCCCCCTCTATGATTCAGTTAGATGTGGATTGGAATGAGAAGTCCCGACTAGGCAGCCAGTGTAAATAGGATCAAGTAGCATCGTAACGTGTCACGAATTCACATGGTAGTCAGGCAAAACCATTGGTGATCAAAGTGAAATAAAATTCTGGTCAGGAGTCGGACCTCGTGGCTCAGTTGGTAGAACACCAGGCCGGTAACCCAGTGGTCGCTGGTTCGAATCCTGCCATGGTGCAGATTTTCATCTCACCTTCAATCATCACCCAGTAAGGATAATTTTTTAACAAAGAAAAAATATTGACCATTGAACAATTAAAAAAAAGTGATTTACTGACAAACCTACTCTACATACAGTGTGTTGACAGAAGACATTCAGTTTTCTGCAAAATTTCTACCTACCTTTCTGTCTTTGATAAAGGCGTTCCCTTAACTATAGTATTAGTTTTACGCCAATGAAAAACAACTATGTAATAATACTTGTGGTTGCTTTTCTATGCATACGTAAGAGGTAGAATATTCGATAGAGCATTTTATGTCAGAGGAATTATGTTAGATAACTGGAGACGGTTGGTAAAAAGCTTTGGTTCACTTAGGTTTCATAACCGTTGGAGAAGCGCGTCTTTAAGTCATTCAATAAGGTTGTGAACCTTTATCGACTGAGATAGTTTAGACGTAAACTACGCATGCCACATCACAGCCTACCTCAACGTCTGATCCTAGGGGAAGTCGGATTAGGATGAGAAAGGGTTCAAGGTGGCTAGATCAAGATGTAAGACCAATTGATTAAGTCCCTGGTTGTTGGCTTGAGCCGTGTGGGGAGATTTACACTGCATGATTATGGTCCCCGAGATGAAAGGAATCAGTGATTGCGGATACTTGGTGACATGGCTGAGAATCGGTGACAATGGCACAGAGTATTCACTCCTTAACATCTTCTAAAGCTTGAGTATCCGCACACTGTTTATTCTCTGACACAGGTTTGTCTACTCCAATGTCACTCTTTCTTACTCACTTGTTCTTTATATACTAGCGTGAAATGTTTCAACTTGAACAGAAGCACTTCTGTACAAGGTTCTAAGTTGATTTTGTATATCTATCTGTCTTTTATCTACAACCATGAAAGAACTAAAAGACGATTCACAAAAGTTTGATATCTAAAAAATCAACATCTAAATATACACAAGAATATAGGTTAAGCTTTTCTCCTCTAATTAAGACAGTTGCTTGGATATTATTTGTATATCTTGTACTAAGCAAGTCACAAATAATCGATTTGATTATTCTGTTTGGTCTTTTAAGTTGTAAGAGTTGATCCTTTACTCTTTTCATAGACTTATTTCGATAAATAAGTACACATTGGTAGTCAGAACATGTGGTTAGATGTCGGGGGAAGTGGAACTTCTTTACTCCCATCTATATAGTCTGCTGTATGACCAATCTTACAGTATCGAATTTATTGTTACAAAAATTACACCAATTTCAGATGCGTAAATTTGATAAAACACTTTAATAACTCTAAGGATAGATTGTTCGTGTTTTGTTCAATGATAGTGTATAGAAATATGGTATCAGAACTGAATCACTTTGCAGTTTTCTCTCGACTATTTTAAAGATTAGAACTCATAAGGATTAGGTAACTTTAAAACAATTTACAATATTTCTTCATATTACTTCATTAACCTTCTATAACCTATTATATAAACATCTTTTGTCAAACCAAAGAGTTTTCTACTCAATTCTCTTTACTGAATTTAGAAATATATTGAACGTCTCCCAATTCATATCTTAAAATTTATTACAATAAATAAAGCGAGTCATATATTGACACTGGATGATGACTGAGGGCAGGATTCGAACCATCAGCAACTGGGTTTAGGGTCGAATTCTCTACCAAATAAGCTATGAGACCGAACTTTTGACTAGATTTCCGTTTCACTTTGGAATTATAATCGTCAATGTGATCCTCCTTAATCCCTAATCCGAGTAGATTTAGATTAAGATGAGATGTTGTGATTGGGCAGCCAGTGTGAGTACAGTCAAGTGGAAGTGAAAAATTTCTGGTTCAAACCCGCCACCATCACTGCTGAACTTATCATATCACCTTCAGTCAACATCTAGCATCATCACCAGACTTCCAAACCACTTCTATCTCACTCAGATAGTCAAAATGATCAACACAACAATGATTCTCCATCTAATTCTGTAGGATTTAGATTCGAGTGAGAAGTGATGAATAGGCAGCCAGTGTGAGTACGATCAAGTGATAGCACGAAGTCATAAATTTACATGGTAGTCAGGCAAAACAAAAATCTGGTCGATAATTGGATTTTTTATTGTAGTCACTGGAACTGAAACCCCTGTGGTAGCATCGTTGAAATCCTTCCATGTCTATGACTTTCCACTCAAAACTCTCAATATAGGTCTTCCGAAACTCGGTTATCTCAAATAGTCAAAATTATAAGTGACCACTGCCTACGCTCGTTACTGAAGCTCAAATGGCCAGAATAATGGAAATAAGCAACAAGGAACTCACTGTGGCTGGCAACGAACCAACGAGGCGAGAACCTATCACTCAACAAATATGCAGAAGAAGGAAGTGGAGATGGATTGGATTGGGCATACACTGAGAAGACCATTCTGGGACATCATGTGCCAGGCCAGTTGCTCGAGTGTAACCCAGATGGGAAACGACTAGTTGGGCGTCCCAACTGAGGGTGACATGGAAGAGATGATGTGAGGAAGAAATGAGAGCTTCTGAGCTGTCGCGGAACCAGGTTTAAAAGTTTGCAGAGAACAGAGTGCGCTGGAAACGTGCTACTGAAGCCCGTTATTCCACTAGGAAACCAAGAGACAAATAATAATTATAAAAATATATCTTACATTTTGTTTTATTGATAAATTATTCAATTCTTTTTCTAATTCTTCGATTCTTTCACGTTTTTCACCTATTTCTTTTTCATAATTTGATTTAGTATTTATCAGTTCTGTAGTTAAAGATTTTGCTTCCAAAGTGGCTTTTTCAGCGCGAACAACTGTAATATTCAATTGATCTTGAAGTTGTTCACATTGTTTACGTAGACTAATTGAAGAGAAATTGAAATAAATATGAAAAATTCTAATGTCAATAATACATATGGAATTAATGAATGTAAAAATTAGAAAAATCTCATTAAAATACTCGAAGTAATTCAGTGAAAAATTTTTCTTTCTAACCAATCATTTCTAGCAGCTGTATGATCGTATTGATAGTAGTAATAAACAAACAAATGAGTCTATGACTGGTTAATAAGCTAACAGTAGGTTATCAAAACGGAATATTCTAGGGTGAAATAGTGAGATATTTGTAAAGTTAGAGAAATGGGTGGCTTAATCATAATGTATACAAATAGACAGTTGATGAAGTTTATTTGTTCTTTGGGTTCCTAGTTGAGCATAGGGCTTCAGTAGCATGTCTCTACTTCACTCTCTTCACTCCAGTCTTTTCAACATGGTTCCATGACTACCAAGAACCTTTCATTTCTTGCTCACACTGTCTCCTTCATGTCACCCTTGTACACTCAATTTGTCGTTCCCCCTTTGAGTTCTACTCGACAGCCTGGCTTGGCATGATGCATGATGTCCCTAAATGGGCTTCTCAGTGTATGTCCAATCCAATCCATCTCCACTTTCTTCTTCTGCATAATTTTTTGGATCATAGATTCTTGGTTGGTTGGTTCATTGCCAGTCACGGTGAGTTCCTTGTTGCTTATTCTTATTATTCTGACCTTCTGATCTTTATTATCGAACAAGCGTATGCTGCAGGTGTTGATGTATGTATATGTGATTTCGTTTCTGATATGATATAGAGTAGTATTAGAGCAATACAAGAGGTGATCATAATTCATATGCTTTGCAGAATTTACCTTCTACAAATAATCAAACAACCTAGATCGGCTAGTAATTATTATGTTTATCTGACACATACTTTAAGGAATTTAATACATAAGTTGCTAGGATGTGCTTCTCACATATGCTTCACCATTTCAAAAGTAATATATTGAATGAGCTATATAAGCAATAACATCACCAGGAAAAAAGCACAGTCATTTTATAATCTACAGCTTTAAAGAGAATCAGAGAAATAAGAATAAGTAATTCTTAAAACATAGAATGAATGTAACCTAACTAACTCATGCACCTCTGACTATTATATTATGTATATTTTGAAGGTATATGAGGTGATATTGATCACTAACTGAGATCATTTGGAGAATCATTGAACTGCTCAGTGGTGCGTACTCACTACTTATCCAGTGTGCTCAATACTAACATTCTTCAAGATAAATTTCTCAAAGTTTCAAAGAGAAGTTATAATCTATGAAGTCAAACCAAGCTTGGTATGAGGCCAAATCCTCATTGATGGTATCGAGTGATAGTCATGTCATGTCGTAAGTTGAAAGAAGTGTTAAATTATGAAGTAATGAACTCCTGTCTATTGACAGGATGATAATGTGTTCGTCACGAAGTCAGAAGGTCCTCGATTAGATCCTTGATGCCACACCTTTTTGTGAATATCTTAAAAAGGTAACATTGTAATCAAAGCAGACCTAGACAGATTTAACACAATGATGAATACTTCTATGGTTTTCACCTTCATTTATTGATTGACACCTTGAGTTACTATATGCACAAATACATTTAAGCTACTAGAAGGTTTGAGGTGATCGGTAGAAAGTCCTGTTTCACTCAGGTTTCGTGGTAGTTGACACTCATCAACAAGGTATATCCACAACCTCAAGGCGACTGATGTCCAGCTTTAGATTCAACCCGTCATTACTCAATGTTGTAGTTAGCGACGTTACCACTGAGCTAGTCGGGAAGAAATTGACCTTGTATAGGACTAGATTAAATAAAATTCATTGGGTGCTCTCCAGTGACCAGTCAAGTCACTGATAAAACAGACACTGACTGACTTAACAGTTTCACTAGACCCAATGACATTCAGTTCAGTCCAAGAGACTTGGATTTTATGCTTGGACGAGTTAAAAGTGTCCAGCACTATGGAGTTCTGGAAAAGACTTAAACATCCGTCCATAAATGTGTAGTTGTCATTTTGAAAACTAATAATAATATTCTATCAAACGATGTCTTAGAATGAAATCTGGTATGACCTAACAATATACAAACGATACGATCCTAACAGACCACAGACGATAAGAATGTAACGGGCAGTGAATTCATTCCTACGCAAATCACAACGTCAACCACCAAAATAAGAACACCACTAATGCACGAATACAAGAAGAGAAGACAAACCGTTGGTAGAAAGCTAATTACTGTCTCAACAACAGTCAATACAGTTGACAGCGATGCCAAATATATGCACTTCTAAATCCACTATCCACTAGCGTAGGGTTTAGTTCGAGTTGTTCGATTTGCTCGTACAGTGGACACGGAAATCTCTTCTGCTTTCTTGCTTTTAGCTTTAGTGGAGTGGATGTTTTGTGGGTTAGTAAATTGTTATTTGTAGAGTGATTCGAGAGCTAAAAGTTGGTGGGAAGATTAGAGGTTTGTTGTGACCCATGTCCGTGTGAATGCCTTAATGGGAACAGTAAGACAGTGAGAAAAAAAAAGTTTGTGGGAATTACCCGAAAGGTAAAAGTAGATAGAACAGGTCTAGTTACTAGATAATCTAGGTGTATTAAGAAGAGAGAGAGAGTCAGTGATAGGTGGAAGGGAAGTGATGGTGAATCAGTGAGGTTAGTGACTCCCTGAGTATCTCTATGGTTAACCATGTGAAGTGACATAACTGTCTAACCGCCTTTTGAATAAGTCTACCGAGAGGGCTATGACAATATCTCACGGTAGGGTATTTCATAAAGCACAAACTCTTAAGGAGAAAAGGTTGAACCTGAGCGTAGTGTTCACTGTCTGATATGCTATTCTGATGAGGTTTCCTCGTGATGATCGTTGTGTTGCAGACAAGGCTAATTTGTTTGCATATAGTTCAGTACTTCATACTGAAGTTAGTGCTGATGATATCATCCAGAAAGACGATTAATGCTTCACGATTAAACAACTCAGCTCAGAGAACACAATACAACCAAGACTAACCATCTGATCTACAAATATTCTCCATTATTTCAAAAAGCTGAATATTCTACCGTTTAACTTGTCCAATTAGATGGCATTGATAGTGGGTGATATAGAGGTTTCGTTGGAATCAATTAGATAAATTGAAATCTTTAACTAAACCTGTTTTTGCTTCAAAAGTTGGTCAGATTCTATACAGATATGAGGATTTGATTTGTTGAAGTAAGCTTAGGACAGAATAAACTAATCTGACAACGAAATATTTTCATTATATCTCCTTGTTATTTAAATAAAACGATACCTTTATGAGTTACTGTCATTAAAAAATCTCTATCATGTATAATTTATATCATAGTAACATTTCACATACTAATCCTATCCTCCTTATAAAACTTCAAGCAAATGCATAATTCAAGAAGCTAAACGAATGTATAAATTCTGACATAGTGGTTCTATGGTAAGTTGCTAGTCACAAAATTTGAATGTTCAGTATTCGATGACTGGTAGGATTATGAGTACTTGCTGTTACTGAGTTGCATCGGAAGACAAAACAGATTTTCAATACTTCCAGGCTTCAAATACTTATCCTACTGATGTCAGTCTATTTATTATTATTATTTGTCCCTTGGGTTCCTAGTCGAACATAAGAACTCAGTAGCACGTCTCCATTACACTCTCTTCTCTTCACTCTTTTGAACCTCAACCAACATCTCCCCACAACCTCCTCCATATCACCCTCACCTCGGATGCCAAACTCACCGTCTCCCATCTGGGTTACACTCGACCAACTGGTCTGGCGCATGATGCCCCCAACCTGCCCTCTCAGTGTATGCCCAATTCAATCCATCTACACCTCCTTCTTATGCATATTTCTTCACTCATACGTTCTCGTCTCATTGCCCTATCATCACCTAGAGTTCCTTGTTCCTTATTCTCATCATTCTGACCATCTGAGTTTCAGTAACGAGCCAGAGTAGGCAATTGTTCATGAATATCTATACTTTGTTGGAAATGCTTTTCGTGACATACCAAATCTCTCAACTATCACATAGAAGCAGTGAGTGGCTTGATTGAATTGGTGTTGAAAATGTGGATGTTGTTCACGCTTTATGGTGAGTGAAGTGCAGAAGATCTCCACACTAATTTCAGGTTAACGAACGCCTGTCCTGCTCTCTTACCGATCCTCGCTGCTTTGACATTCTCGTCTGTGCTGCCTGTAGTTGAAACGATGCTGCCTAGATAGATGAAAGAGGCTACTCCCTTTAAGTTTCTCCCGTTAATGATGATTGGAGCTTGTTGTTGGTGGCGGTGGCGTCAGTTGATGTTATATATTAATTTCAAATATAAATTAAAGGCTGATAATTATGTAAATCATACAAATGAACTTCATCACAAGTTAAAGTCGCTTTAGAGAAACTTGATACCTGGCTCTGCTCTATAAACAAGTACTTGGTTTCAATAATCATTCAACATATCTTATACTTCCCAGTTGAGCAGTACAATATGAATTTTATTTCACGATTTCAAATCTTGATATAAGCACAATATATATAAAAAAAGAAATATGGAATAAACATATAAAAATTTAGTAATAATTTTATTTTGTTTTTAATGATTGAAGATGATACTTAACGCTGATTCATGTTTCTCTTCAATTCTGGAGATTTCCATTTCATGTTGACTTCGTAAAACGTCTACTTTAGTTTTTAATTTTTCAATTTCAATATTTTGTACATATTCTCTCTCTTCAAATGTCTAAAAATTATAATAAGCATAGTAAGGGAATAAGAAAATTGATTAGTCCAGTGTTAAAATCTACATAGTAGCTAACAGAGGAATCCAACATGTATGTTTCATTCAATTTATGATTCATCAGCTAGATTTACCTACAATATAGAGAATAATATTGTTTTCAGCAAGACTCAAATGAACTACCTATCATTTCAAATACTAAAACGTTATCCACTACGCTACAAAGCATTATCAAAACATCTGCATAGGAGCTTATCTGTCAACAGAGATCAAATCATTCGGCTCTGAATAGTAATGGGAACCCTTTGATGTTTGAAGCAATGGGTTCTGTATTCGCGTCTTAGTGAGAACAATACTACTCACTAGGGTACTGGTATATCCATCTGAAGAATTCTTGGATTTCATTGCTAACCATTAAGTGGATGATCAGTTCAGTATTGTAGCTTTCTTGTTTTCCTCTTATCTGTGTTAGTATTATCATATTGATATGCTTGTGTTATAAAAATAACCTGAATGTGTAAAAAACGTTATCGATCAACCAGACACATAAGATCTTAGTGTTTAGATCAAGGAGGTATGGTGTTAGCCTCTTTACAAATGTATCCATATAGCTTATGACATAAAAAAAGAAATTATTATTCTGCATTAAGCAATATTAATAATCTTGCAGTGAGCATTGTTGATAACAATAGACATAAGTAGTATATATTGAGTAGATGGCAAAAATCATAGGGAATCACTGGCAATGACTAAGGATTCTGTCAAGAGGATTTCAAGAGATACCGTGGCCATATAAAGAGAAAATCATGACAGAAGTAGAAGAGGAAATCAAGCACATTTTTTCAAATGACTGTCTTAGTGCAAGATGTACCATATTTAACAATTACTGTACCAAATCATCTTACTCTATAACTATGACATGGTGAAACTGTTCATTCTGGTCAAGTTTTGATAATAACCAATTTGTCTCACTCTTAAAGTAATAGTAGACCAAACCATTTGCAAGATATAAGAAACAAAATCACTTGAGAAAAAAGAAATCCATCCATAAACTTTATAAAAACACTGAGAATCATTATTATAATTTGCCCCTTGAGTTCCTAGAGGGGCATAGAGATTCAGTAGCACGTCTCCATTACACTCTCTTCTCTTCACTCTTTTGAACCTCAACCCACATCTGCCCACAACCTCTCATTTCTTCCTCACACAATCTCCCCCATATCACCTCGACCTCAGACGCTCAACTCCTTGATTCCCATTTCGGTTCCACTCAACGCCATGGTATGACGCGTGATGCCCCCAACCTGCCCTCTCAGTGTATGCTCAATCCAATCCATCCTCACTTCCTTCTTCTGCATATTTCTTCACTCATACGTTCTCGTCTCATTGCTTTATCATCACCTACAGTTCCTTGTTCCTTATTCTCATTATTCTGACCATCTGAATTTCACTAACAAGTCAGAGTAAGCAATTGTTGATGAATATCTATAGTTTGTTGGAAATGCTTCCCGTGACATACCAAATCTCTCAACTATCACATAGAAGCAGTGAGTGGCTTGATTGAATTGATGTTGAAAATGTGGATGTTGTTCATACTTTATGCTGAGTGGAGTGCAGAAGATCTCCACACTAATTTCAGGTTAATAAACGCCTGACTTGCTGTCTTTCCGATCCTGGTTGGCTTTGACGTCATCGTCTGTACCTGTGCTGCCTGTAGTTGAAACGATGCTGCCCAGCCAGATAGGTGTAGGTGAAAGAGGCTAATTCTTTTAAGTTTCTCCCGTTGATGGTGAATGGAGTTTCTTGTTGTTGGTGTTGTTGTTGGTTGGGTATCTTCATCACCTCTGTCTTCTCTATATTCACTTGAGGTCCCGTCTTCGCTGCCCTGCCCTGCCTTGCCTCTTCTGTCAACTTGTTAGTTTTCGCCTATAGATCTTCGAGTTTGTGCTATAAGACATTAGACACAAGTCATCACTGGAGAAATCCAAGTGGTGTAGGTTCTTTTCCGTGGTCCAGCGTATCCCCCTCTTCTCGCTCCTCACTGTTTGCTGCATGATCCAGTCCAGTTGACCACAATCAGAAGGATCATTGGTGGTAGTAGGTGGCTACGTTGTCTCACTCCTGTCTTCACTTTATATGCATCACTGAGCTTTGTATTATGAATCACTTGGTATGTGGCCTCTTCAAATAATTGTTGAATGAGGTTGATAAATGTTTGTGGTATTCCGTAGAGTTAAAGCAACTCCCAAATTACTTCTCGGTCGATGTTGTCAAAGGCTTTATTGAGAATTAAGTTTACCCCAAAAAAATATACTCAAAAATGAAGTAGAAATTTACATAGGGAATTTCATATTCATCATTGACTACACTATAAATATATAATGAAAAAGTAATGGTTTTTAAACAAGAATCCCACTTGTTTTAAAAATCCAACTCTATAAACTTCTGATGAGTTCAGATGTAAGTGGAAGAAACGCCTATCAGTTGTTTTGATCACCATTGATTTGATTAGGAAGCATTAGTTATCAGTTTGTATACACTTTAGTTACTCAGCTGTCAATCAAATAGCATATTTTTGAAACAAATTATCTATTTTTCTTTCATATTTCCAAAACCAATAATCTATATATGTAAAGTTATTTCCGTATTCATCATGAACTGAAATCAGTCGGAAGAACATTGAAAACTTGACAACACTAAAAATTCTGTTTCTTCCGACTATTATGAGACTCTTCAGCAGTGCACAACCATGTCTTATCCAGGGATGTCAATACACGATATAGCGCGACTTTCATCCAACGTCATCGTTGAGTATTTGTCCTAACGACCACTAGGTTCTCCCCACTGATCATTATTTCTCATTGGGACTTCAAGAATCAATAATGAGAACTAGTTCAACCGAATTTTGAGGTTTGTGGGGATTAAGAGATGTTTTAAGTTGGTTTTCATCATGAACTGATATCAGTTGGAGGAACGATGGAAATCTGGGAGCACTCGATAGCCGTTTCATTCAACTAGTATGGGACTCTTCAGCAGTGCGCAACCACGACCTCGACAGAGACCCAGCAGCTTAGTGAAAACATGCTGACCGTGAAACCTGAACGTCGTGGGTTCGAACAGTGGTGGGGTCGTGGGTGCATACTGCTGAAACGTCCCATGCTAGTCGGACAAAACAGATGTTAGTGCTCCCAGATTTCCAGTGTTCCTCCAACTGATGTCAGTTAATGATGAAAACTAACTTAAAATATCGCTTTATCACTACAGACTTACAAATTCGATTGAACTAGTGCTCTTTGGTGACTAGCTTCGAGAGGTGATTACTGAAGTTCTGATGAGAAGTCGTGAATAGTGGGGTGAACATGGTAGTCAAGAGGACAAATATTCAACGATGACATTGAGTGGCGGTCACGCTATATCATAAACTGACAGAAGGAGGAAATATGGACGATTGTATTCCGACCTAGGAACTCAATGGTAACGTGCTGGCCACGTAACCTGAAGGTCACGGGTTCGATCTCTGGCGGGATGGGATCGTGGGTGCGCACTGCTGAAGAGTCCCATACTATAGTGTATGAATATCAACCAGATCCCCAAGAAAACCAAATTCAATATTTTTCTATACTTGAAAAAAATATCTACAAATTAAGATTTTGTTAATCACAATCTTACTTTTAACAATGTATCAAGACGATTGTATGAAGATTCAGTGACATTGTATCCTTTACAGTCTGTTATATCAGGTAATTGATTACTGGCATCAAATCTTTGAATAGTTGAATTGATACGTTCTAAAACTGATTTATAATTACCAATTTCTTTGTTCGATACATCAAGACGTTCACTCATTTCAGACATGAGCTTTAATAATGAAGAAATAAACAACCACATATTAAGTTATAAAAATATTCAACAAAATTAGGTGAGTATAATTGTTTGTTTGTTTTTTAATCCCGGTGGGAACAAAATCACTCACTGGGAAGCAGGTACATCCAGATGACTGATGAGTGCCAAATAGGACTAAATGCGCATCCTGGATTCCACTGCTAACCACGATCCATCATTCATAAAATTTGGTCAAATTTTATACCCGATAGACTTAATGTTCTAGGGAAAAAAAAGCGGTTTATTATCCGACTGAATGGGTTAATTTTATTCAAAAGGCTGTAGCTTGTGAGGAATAATTAGACCCAAATAATAGGCGGATTGAATTAAAAGTAATGATGATTACAGTCGTTATAATGTCAATGGTTGATGACGTAACGGCTGAATGGTAACAAAAAGAGATTATATAAAGGGTGAAAAAAACATAGTAGACCTAATAAGCAAATAAAGTATCAAATGAAATATAAATCCATTCAGTAGTTGGCTTATGTAACTCATTGACTACAGCATCGAGCAGGAAAGTCATTCTTTGGTCTTTCTAATGCCGTCATTGACCAAATTTTCATTTCACCCTGAATAATCACCCAGCATCAATGCTACAAGCCTTGTAAAACCATCATTCTTATTTGTCCCTTGGGTTCCTAGTCGAACATACGAACTCAGTAGCACGTCTCCACTACACTCTCTTCTCTCCACTCTTTTGAACCTCAACCAACATCTCCCCACAACCTCCTCCATATCACCCTCACCTCAGATGCCAAACTCACCGTCTCCCATCTAGGTTACACTCGACCAACTGGTCTGGCGTATGATGCCCCCAACCTGCATTCTCAGTGTATGCTCAATCCAATCCATCTTCACTTCCTTCTTCTGCATATTTGTTGGGCGATGGTTTCTTGCTTCGTTGGTTTATTCGCTGCCAGCCACAGTGAGTTCCTTGTTGCTTATTTTAACTATTCTGGCCATCTGAGCTTCAGTAACGAGCCAGAGTAGGCAGTTGTTGATGAATATCTGTAGTTTGTTGGAAATGCTTTTCGTGACATACCAAATCTCTCAATCATCACATAGAAGCAGTGAGTGGCTTGATTGAATTGATGTTGAAAATGTGGATGTTGTTCACACTTTATGGTGAGTGGAGTGCAGAAGATCTCTACACTAATTTCAGGTTAACGAACGGCTGACTTGCTGTCTTTCCGATCCTCGCTGCTTTGACATTCTCGTCTGTGACGCCTGTAGTTGAAACGATGCTGCCTAGATAGGTGAAGGAGGCTACTTCTTCTAAGTTTAAAGGTAAGAATAACACTGACAGTGACGATGTAGATGTACAATGACTGGTCTAACAACGACAAAGCCAAATGAAGCAAACCAAGACGAAATTAAGATGAAGGTCAGTGTAAAGATAAAGACTGCAAATAAATCTTTTTCATACACAAAGGTCAAGCTTCAGTTTATATTTAGAAGTTGAAGACGGAGAAAACTTGAAATGTCTGATGTATCAGATATTCTGATAAATCGTCTTTTGAGATCAGTTAGCAGAACATTTTTCGTGAATAAAACTCATTTGACCTTTACTAATCATAAATTATTCTTTGTAAAAGATAATATCTTTAGACATGTGACGTCTACTTGCATTTAGGAGTTTATCTACTCCTGTGAAGCTGCTGTAGTCAAAGACTGATGTCAACACGTATACGAGAACATATTCCAGCTTCATTATTTAAAAGAGTGAAAGTAAATCCATTAACAGTTCTATCCTTGAACATTTAATCGATCCTAACCATTCAACCGAAGGGTACAATAATTTAAAGGTTATCTATCGAATTCGCTAAAAAATTTCATGTTTTCTCTGTCGTTAATTTCTAAAAACAACAGAGGCTTCGGTTATGAATGGGTTGAAGCCTGACATTTATGTGTAAAAATGAAATACATACAGTCTCTGTTTTTATTTGGTTTTTATATTAATTTCGTCTTGGTTCCCATGTTTCCACCCCCTTTGTAAACTATGTGCAGTGTATAAAATGATCTAAAAACTCAGCATTCAACTATTACGTCATCAACTAGTAACACTATTATGACTATAACCACCTCAGTATCAACCCTATTCAGGTAAACAACAACTATCTCAGTCAAAATGATAATCATTATGATGCTCCACCTCTCTAATTTAAGTTAGATTTTGATTAGGATGAGAATTCCTGACTAGGTAATCAGTGTGAGTACGATCAAGCGGTAGTAATGCGTCATGAATTCACATGGTATCCGGATAAAACCCACCTTGGTGATTGAAATGAAATAAAATCTAGTCAGCAGTCGGACCTTGTAGCTCAGTTGCTAAAGCATTGTACCGGAAGCCCAGTGGTCGCTGATTCGAATCTGTCGACGGTCCAGAATTTCATTGCACCTTTAATCATCACCCAGAATCAGTAACCATAACCATCATTAGTATTATTACTTGTATTGGACCGAATTAATTGGTCTCTAACTGGCATATGGGCTCCTGTACAGATGCCTCGGTATTACCTGTGTAGTTCTAGTTATAGTATTGATGAATAGTGGCTAGCAGTAGAATCCAGGGTGTACATTTTGTCCCATTCAGGACTCTTCAGCTGGATGTACCTGCCTCCCAGTGAGTGTTGTTCCCATCGGGGTTCGAACTCGGGAGCTATCGCTTCAAACGACAGAGCGTTATCCACTACATCCCCGAGCCACGATAGCCACTTCTTGTGCGACGAGTATAGCTTTAGTACTAGTGTTTGTATTAAACTATACTTGTCTCACAAAATGTGGCTATTGTGGCTTCGTGGTCTAGTGGATAACGTTTTGGAGTTTGGGGCGATCACTCCCGAGTCCAAATCCTGATGGGAACAACATCACTCACTGGGAGTCAGGCATATCTGGCTGACGAGTCCCAAATAGGACGAAATGTCCTTCCTGGATTCCGCCGTTAGCCACGATCCATCATTACTATAACCATTATTATTTTTATTTCAATCTGGCATAATTTTAAGTTGTTTTATTCTACTACGCATAAAATATCAACTTTAATAAATTTCTAAATATGGATAAATCTATCTACATACTTCTTAGATAACTTTGTTTTATTAGAAATGTTTCAAGTTGTTATTCACCATAGACTGACATCAGTTGGAGGAACAAAGGGAACTCAGGAGCACTGGACAGCTGTTTCATCCTAGTATGGGACTGACTCCTCAGCAGTGCGCACCCACAACCTCCACCCGTCCAGGATCGAACCCGCCACCTTCAGGTTCCGTGGCCAGCACGTTACCATTCAGCTAGCCACTGGGTCACAATCCAATGCTCCATATTCCCAACTTGTGTTAGCTCACGATATAGACCAACAACCGCCACCCAATGTCATCGTTGAGTAACTGTCCTCATGACCATCAGGCTTTGCCCCCACCAGTCTTAGAACTTGGGGAATACCTCTCGAAGTTAGTCACCAATGAGCACCAGTTCAATTGAAATGATTAGCAAGCTTCCTTCTGTATGATACTCAGAAGGTAAAATCTAATGATTAGATACTTTCAACGAGATTACTGTCATATAGAAACAGCTCTGAATGTGAAATAAACAATCCATAATTCTATAACTGTTTCTTCTCTTTTAAATTGTTTGTTCCCTTTTCATTTTACGGGGTCGATCTTATTAGGAAGTCAAAAATTACAGTAATTTGGATACTACACCTTTTTTTGGAAAGATGTATTTCACCACATAGGTGTATGCACCCTGTATACATTAGAATCATATCCCACCTATTCATAATATTCAATTACTTTTGATTGGATGTATGCTGAACAGAGTATTCAATCTAAAGATTTGAGTATACTCTGTTAAAATAATCACTAATCATCACATTACTGGCAACCTATCACACGTTTTCAAAGGTGACATTTTAACACGCTAAGTCATAATATGTCGTATTTGATCGCTTCACAAGTACTCTATATTATTATTATTATTATTATTATTATTATTGTTTGTGCCTTCGGTTCCCAGTGAAACATAAGGCTTCAGTAGCACGTTCCCATTTCCCTCTTTTCTCCCCTGTCTTCTCTACCACTGTCCACAAGCTTTCATTTTTTCCTCACTTGATCTCCTTCATGTCACTCTCGGACACTCAACTTGTCATTTCCCATTTCGATTCCACTCAACGGCATGGTATAGTGCGTGATGTCCCTAGTCAGCCTTCTCAGAGTATGTCCAATCCATCTCCACTTTCTTCCTCTGCATATTTGTTGAGTGACATCTTCTTGGTTGGTCAGTTGGTTCGTTGCCAGCCACTGTGAGTCCCTTGTTGTTTATTCTTATTATTCTGGCCATCTGATCTGATCTGCAGTATCGAGTGAGCGTATGCGGCAAGTGTTGGTGTATGTCTGTAGTTTGTTTGAAATGTTTTTGGTAACACGCTAAGTCTCTCAATCATCATATAGAAGCACTTACTTAACTGAATTAGTGTTGAAAATCCACATCTTGTTCACGTTTCATGCTGAGTACAGTGCAGTACATCTCCACACTGATTTCAGGTTAATAAAGGCCTATCTTGCTGTCTTTCCGATCCTGGCTTTGACGTTCTCATTTAGGCCTGTGCCGCCCGTAGTCGAAACTATCCTGACTAGGTAGGTGAAAGAGTAGTTGATGGTGATTGTTGGTTGCTGTTGTTGGTTAGGTATCTTCATCATCTCTGTTTTCTCTACGTTCACCTGAAGGTAGTTCCGTCTTCGCTACTTCTCACACCAACTTGTTAGTTTTCGTCGGCAAATCTTTGAGTTAGTGCGATAGTATTCTATAAGCATCCTTTAAAATAAACGCTATAGGGTTATTTTTCACGACATAATAACACTAGTAGGCAATCACACTTGAAATAAGACAATTAAATCAAATCGGAACAAGGAAATGTGGTTCCAAAGTTCATGAAAATTTATCAGAGTTATTGTTTCGGTTGTGATTCTCGCAGTATTATCTCATCTACATGACTTATCTGGCTAAAAAAGGAAAGAAACAGAATGTAATGTAACACCAAACTTTACTTCACTCCTTACAAATAACCCAGTATAATGGCCACAAAGCCGGTGGGGATTAAATGTTCAATAATTGATTTCTACCTATTACTGCTCACATTCAATGACAAGATTATTTGAGTAATCGTTTGATTTAACGAAACATTTTTGAAAATGGTTGAAATCGCAATTCAAGTACTTTAGTATTTTAAAAGAAGATTCCCACACAAGCACCATTTACTGACTGAAAGACTGGCTTTAAAAAAGTATAGAGGTTAGTTAACTGCATTAAAGGCGGATGAAACCTAGGGAAAATGTCTGTAGCGTTTCCTCACAATGAACTTTATTCTAAGCCTATTCCAGTTTAAATAATGGATTATTTCAACGAAAATCATCATGAAACTTGGAAAGTTAGTTGGTTGGAGGCAATTGGCAGGTATTTCTGCTCGACCTAGGTTTCATGTTTTTCAGCACTCGTCAGGAAGGCGTATCTGCAACCTGGACGGAACTGATGTCCCATCTGAGATTGGAACGCGCGTCACCCAGTGTTGTAGTCAGCGACCACTGAGCTATTCCAGCCGAGATTGACATCCTGGAGGACTGGCTTACATGTATTGATTGGTCACGGGAGTACAAACAACTTCATGTTGTCTAGTCCTAAGTGCAGACTGAATTCTATCGCTCATATTTGCAATCTGGCAACCGAGCTAGGAAGCTCAGCATTGCAGTACGCATTAGTAGATGTTAGTTGGTTGGCTCAGTGGTAAAGTTGCTGAATACAACACTGGGTGACGTGGGTTCGAATCTCAAACGGGATATCAGTTCCATCGAGGTTGCAGATAACGCCTTGCTGACGAGTGCCAAAAAAGCAAGAAACCTAGGTCCAGGGCTTCCTGTCGATTGCCAACAACTAACTAACATCTACTAATATGCACCACGGTGCTGAGCTTTCTAGCTTGGTTGCCACATTGTAAATATGATCGATAGGATTCGGTCTACACTCAGGACTAGACAACATGAAATTGGTTGCACTCCCGTGACCAATCAATACATAAACTTGGAAAGTATTAAGAAAATAATCATTATTGACATGAGAAAACATAGATAAATCTGTATAGCTCTATTATATCTTAATTTGCTGGAGCTGAGTATTCTACCTTCATAATGTTTAAAGGTTAGATACAATAGCTTTTCGATGTCAACTTAAACGGTCGTCAAAGACTGACACCGCAGTTATGTGTACAGAAAGTAAAAAATTAAGGCCTAAAAAAAGGGTGAATTCTGTATACTTTTAGCGTATGTTCCCCCACATTTCTGTATCTAATCAATAGTTACCGTGATAATAACCATTACTGGTCTATCAAGTGTCACCTAAACTAACCACAACTGAATGAAATAAAATTGTATGAAAGTATAAAATAACTTGCCTCCCAGTGAATAATATTGTTCCCTATAAGACTTGAAACTTAGACTGATCGTTTCAAATGCTAAAACTTTATCCACTAAGCTACTAAGTCACACGATGGAATCTTAGGGAGGAATAATACTACTCACTGGGAGATAAGTTCCTCCATCTGATGAGTTTCAAATGGGACAAAATACATATATATATATATATATTTATTATAATCAAACTTACTGTTTCTTGTTCTGTATTCGTTTCTAGTAGCTGATTTACACAATTTTTTAAATGTTCAAATTGTTCACAAGTCTGTTTTGATTCCATGTTTGTTTTAGTAATTACTTGATCTCTTTCTTGTGAAACTATTTCAAGTTGAGTACGAAGAAGTTCAACTACTTTGGCTAGTTTACACTGTTCATCTATTCGTTCTTTGCTTAGCTATAAATGTTTTCAATAACATAAGATGATGCATTTGAAGGTTGCAAAGTACATGATAAATTTTCATTTAATATACTGGAAAAATATTATTATTTATTATTATTATTAGTATTATTTTTCGCTTGGGTTCCTAGTGGAACATAGGGCTTCAGTAGTACGTCTCTATTGCACTCTGTTCTCTACAATCTTTTGGATCTGGCACCACGACTGTCCATAAGTTTTCATTTCTTCCTCACATGGTCTCCTCCATGCCACCCTCAGCTGGGACACCCTACTCGTCGGTTCCCACCTGAGTCCCACTCAACGGCGTGAAGCGTGATGTCCCCAGTCGGCCTTCTCAAAGTATACCCAATCCATCTTCATTTTCGTTTGAATATTTGTTAGGTGATAGGTTCTTGGTTGGTTGCTAGCCCTATGCCCAACCTTCCCTCTTTAGCCGGGCTTAGGACTGGCTAGTAACTAGTGAACTAGTTAACCAGGCGAGGTTACACTGGGAAAATGTATAAAGTTTTATTAAATCAGCACGGAAAAAGAGATAACCATTGTGGAATCACTAAAACCGACTTGGCTTATATTAACGACAATACTAAGGCATCTCTGTCCAAGGGGCCATAATCCAATAGTGACCGGTCAATTCGCTGTAATAAACGATGAGAAATTAGAAGCTATGATATCAAAACGATACTAGTTGCATAATGAATGATTATCATCACTCGGTTGCCTGGTAAATAATGCTCTTGGCTTTTGAAACAATAGATCCCGACTTCAAATATCAAGGAGAACGGAATCATTCACTATGAAGTAGATACGTCGAGTTGATTAGTCCCAAATAAGGAGAAACCATGTTCTGAATTCCACTGTCAGTTATAATGACTTTAAGGTAAATTATTGTTAAGGTGATGAGTACATGATAAATTTTCATTCTATCCTTTCAAAAAATATATTAAAGTTTTCAGGTTAGTATCCATCATGGATTGACATCAGTTGGAGAAACATGGATAAACCTGGGAACATTGGACAGCTTAAAGTTACTCAGTGATGCAATTGGATGGAGATTACGCCATCATGTCAACCGACGGTAGTAGGAAATATGCATCACTGGATCCCTACCCAGTGACCCAATGGCAACGTCCTTGCCACGGAAACCGAAGGCCCTGGGTTCGACCCCTGATGGTGTATGGTCATGGGTGCACACTGCTAAGGAGTCCCATATTAGGAAGAAAGAGCTACCCAGTACTCCAACTGATATCATTCCATGATGAATATTAACCTGGAATCCCCACAAACCTCCAAATTTAATTAATAATGTTTTGTTGAACAATTCGATCCAGTAAAACAACGGAGAATTACAAGTATGTGCATTAATAATAATAATAATAATAATAATAATAATATCAACTAATACCCGTTGTACAAGAAGTAGCTATCGTGTCTCCATGGCATAGTGGATAACTCCTTGACATTTGAAGCGATTGGTACGAGGTCCGAGTCCCACTGGGAACAACATCACTCCGCACTGGGGTGTAAAGTACATCCAGCTGACTAGTGAGTCCCAAATAGAACAAAACGCGTCTTCTGGATTCTTCTGCTAGCCACAACCAAGTAAATTACCATAATTAATATTAAGGCTATATCGAGGTATCCACATAGGAGCCCATATGTCCATACAGGTAGAACAATTCGTTCGATTCAGTAAAACAACGAAGAATTACAAGTATATGCATAAATAGTAATTACATTATATATATATTTTTGTTAAGAAATACTCATTGAGTAATATAATGTCTTACTCGAAGGAATTCTGCTCTGAAACGTTCAACTTGTGATTTTGCATCATTCAATTGTAGATGAAGATTTTCATGACTTGATTTACCTTCAACTAAATTTGTAACTGATTCATAGCCTCTTTTTGTACAATAATCTTTCTTTGATAAGCTGTAATCTTGAACAACTTCTTTACCTTCAAAATCTTTACATTCATATACATATTCTCTAACTTACCTTGAAGGTTTATTGGAGAAGAAAATCGGTATCTCTTTTCATCACTAATCATTGAGTCTTATTCAGTACCAGTAGCAAATTAGATATTAAGATGTTGTTTTCGTTTCTTCAACAATGATTTAGTCATATAGACTACGTATGACTATAAATGAGTTAGAAGAAAACAAGAAATAAAATATTAGACTAGTGGAAGATATGAAACGAATGCAGGGTTTTAATTACAGATGTCTTCGTAGCTTTGCTAGTATATAGTGAAATCACCCTGTGAACAACGTTGAGGTTAGATGTAAGACCATAGGCAAGACATGAGTTTTTGAATCTTAGTTGACTGAGATGGGTTGGACATGTACTGGACCTATTGAGCCAGCGCTTAAATCAATCTTCCATGTTAGGAGTAGTTAGATTAGGTTGGTAAAGGGTTTAGGCTGACCAAACTAAGACGTAGCACTAGTCCATGGAGTTTCTAACTGTTGGTCTGAGACGTTTGAGGAGATGTAGACTGTCCGATGAGAGTTCACGAGACGATAGAAATCAGTGGTTGAGAACTGAATCTTAGTGACATGGTTGCAAATAGGTCATAATGGCGTGGATGTATTCACTCCTTAATGTCTTCTAAAGCTTGAACAACATCCACACTATCCACTGACTTCAGACTGTTTATTCTCTGATGTCACTCTTTCCTATCCACTTGTTCTTTATGTATTACTTCGAAATGTAGCAACTTGAGCCGATGCACTTCTGTGCGAAGTTCTACATTGTTTTTCTTAGTTTGTCATCTACATAAACCAAACGGTAATTATGACTTTCTCAAGAGATTTTCACATGATCATAGACCTGGAACAATCAACTCAGCTATTATAAGTGAGGCGCCTTAGGAACATTCCATCTTATATATATATATATATATATATATATATATATATATATATATATATATATATATATATATATATATATATCTGCCTTAAACGGTGGGTAAATTTACGTCAAGTTTTGTCAATAGTGAGTTATATTGTTTGATATGTTCGATAATTAGTTCTTAATATTTTCAGAGCCTCATCGAAACAGCTTTAACTGTTACACACATTCCAGATAACGCCATTTCTTGACCTAACTAACCATTCTTATCTCTTCCCATACAATCTTATTCCAATTATTACTGGGTATCAGCATTTATTATGGCTTAAAACCCATTAGGTCAGTTGCTTTAAATGGGCTTTACTCCTAATCAGGCTTTTTGGCCTATCAGTAAGTGTATATATCTCCTGTCAAATAATCCAGATTCATCTGTATCATGACATGCTATATTACAAATGGATTGATGTTGTTCCCATCTGGATTCGGACTCAGGAGCGATCTCTTCAAACATCAGAGCGTTATCCACCAGACCACCAAGCCATGATAGCCACTTCTTGTGCGACGAGTATAGTTTAAGTGTTACTGCTTGTGTTATACCGTCGTTGATTGGACCGAATAGATTGGTCTTTACAGGCATAATGGGCTCCTGTGCAGATGCCTCGATATTGCCTGTGTAGTTCTAGTTTGCTCACCTTTAGATTACTTTCTTACCTGATACTACGTCAAGTAACACTGTATAATACGATAGATGATGGTCTTGGATGTTGTAGAATGGTTACCGGCATAATGGACACCTAACGTCCAAAAGTGTCTCTATCCATCTCCTCACATCATTTTAAATGTCTGTCTGCAGGCGTATCCATTTGAAAGGTAGTGGAGCTATGGCTTATTGGTTCAAGATGATTCAACCAGCAGATCACAGATTCAAACACTGGTCCACTTACCGAAGTTTAGGGAGTCAGGTTGTATCATTAGCCCTCATACAGTAGGCGTGTGTCTCATTACCTAAGGCGAAAACTTGCTCAAGAGTGCTGAGTGTAATTCATTCATTCACCGGAAAGGTTAGAGGTACAACAGTGACCCCGTTACCATCCTCCAAACTCATAAGCAATGCAACACAGTAGTTAATAGGCAGTTTAGCTACAAGTTACTGCTAACAAGGAAGGCTAGAAGGATCCCAAGGCAGGTTCTAGGCAGCATCCATCAAATTACAGACCGATAAGTTTGACTAGTACTGTAGTAGAAATCCTAGAAAGAGTAATTAAGAAAGCCATCACAGTTCGCTTAGAGAGCAACACTATATTGTCTCGTTCACAGGATGACTTTCGCAGAAATTGCTCTTGCCTGACGAGCCTACTCGCGGTCAGAGAAAGTTGGGTCAAGTTGAAAGATGATAGGATACCTATAGATGTCATTTTCATAGACTTTAGTAAAGCATTCGACATAGTACCCCATCCCAGGTTGCTCGGGAAACTGGAAAGTTTTAGAATCACTGTCAGTCTGCTTGCATGGCTAAAACAGTTCCTTATTGGTAAAAGACAAAGAGTAAGGATCAATTCTCAACTCTCCTCTTAGAAGTCTGTAGAGAGTGGAGTGCTGCGAGGCACAGTCCTGGGTCCTCAGCTGTTTTTTCTATACGTAAATGGGCTACTTAATATTACGAAATCCCCTCTAGTTATCTACGCTGATGTAAAACTCTAGCGGGAAGTTAGGAACGACGAGGATATATGTGCACTTCAAACAGGCCCAAACAGATTGCTTACCTAGTCCCTATCAAGACAGGCGAATGTAACAGCATGCACTTGGGGCACATAATTGGCCACACCTACGATATAGAATGCACTCCTCTACCGCCAGTACTGACCCATGATGACCTAGGAGTCACAGTGAATTACAACTTGAAAACCATGGTTCACTATCGCTTGTTAGCAGCTCAGAGTTTTAGGACTCTCTGGGCATTACGTAGAACGCTTACGAAAGCATGTGGTGACATGTTCACCATCTTATACACATCCTTAGTTGGGTCTAAATTAGAAAACTGCACACAGATAGCAAGTCCTTGTCTCAAGGGTGATGCAGACCTTCTAGAAAGAGTTGAGAGGGCACCCACTCAAAAAATCCTTGCAATGGCTGGCTTCACCTATGAAGATTCACTCAAGGAGCTAAACCTCTCCACTTCATTCCATCGCACACAGAGGGGAGATCTAATCATACTACAAACGGTCCTAAGAAATGACTTCGAACCTGACCTATCTTCTCTTTTCCCTCCCACTGGGTCGGAATACCTCAGAGCACATAGTAGGAGGATGCTAAAGCAAGGAGCGGACATGCTCTCAGCAGAGTACTGGTTCTCGCGTCACGTAATCGACACCTGGAACCAACCTCCAGAAGAGGTGGTATCTGTATCACCAACTGACTTGTTCGAAAGGGGATTGGACAAGCACAAAAACCTACTGGGAAAGGATTGATATAGGCTCATAGCCTCCTATCCTCATAAAAGAAATCTGAATCTAGCAACAAAGGGTGTTACTTTTTAAACTGGTAATTTGTAAGACGGTGGCTAAGTTGTACCTAAAACTCGCAGTTTTCTTTTCCAGTATGCTAAATGGAAAACTTTTTATAAACAAGTAGGATGTAGAAGTACTAAGAATAACTGAAATAAAAGTTAAGGCTAGAATGAATAGTACTTAATTCATTCTTCTGAGTGCTTCTACTGGTGCGATAGAAGTCATAAGAAGAAAACGCTTCATGCCGTTATCATTACATAACAAAATTTCTGAAGGGATTCCGCTAAGATGCTGTAGTTGTTACGCATATCTGGAGTCGAATTAGTCACTTGCATGTTATTGAAGTAATAAACATGAATCTCATTGCTTAAAATGATTTACAACTTTAGACAAAATATTGGATAAAAAAATGATATCCTCTATAGGCCATTTTTACATTTTTCCACCAAAAGGAGACAATAAGGTTTCACTTAAGTTCTCAGTACCTTGAGGGAAATAAAGAAGTCACTAAATCCCATAAGAATCCGTTTATTTGCATAATTATGAAATGCTAAGCAAATTTTGAAGTTATTATGAGAAGTAGAACTTTATACTCAGCATAGATCGATAATTTGCCAAATGGTAGATGTACAGAGGAAAAGACAACTAAAAAAACGTCAATAATCTCAGATATTAAAGTGATTTCAACTCACAATAACTACATACACACAAAGTATGAACTTCATCAGAAACTTCAGGAAATTTATTTCAACTTAAAATTATCAGATCCTTTATATTCATCCTCGGAGAAAGGGAATATAAATATTTTAATGTGGTGATTATCCTAGTCTCATCAGAACTTGACAAATGTAATCGTATTTCTGAACGTTATCATAGGTTTTTAACTCTCCTGGAAGTTGAAAAGGTTTTATCAAACCTGAAATGATAAGAAGCACCAGAACCTGACAGTTTGCCCCCTGAAGTTTTCAAGGATGGAGGTAGGAAATTGCTCATTAAAGCGACAGAGGTAATAGGTAATGTATGGGGATCAGGGGTAGTGCCGACAGACTGGTGTACTTCACTGATCATCCCAGTCTAAAACAAGAGACCGATGTCTTTTTGTGACAACCAGTTGTAATTAGTTCGACTAATATTGCGTCCAAGATTCTAGGGTCCATGGTTATCCGACAAGTAACAGAATGTCCAGAAAAGTAGACCTGCTTGAGGATAAATCTATCATATTTTCACCCTCCGACAGGTTCTGGAACACAGGTCTATCTACTGACTAGAAGCCGACACTTGCCATATTTCTTGATCTAAGGGTGGTATTTGACTACATCAACCGTGAAATGTTGTGGCTGTGACTATGAAGAGAGAACCGAGCAAGTATATAACGCTAACCGAAGTTCTCTGCTCAAACTCAGCCGCGTATGGAGAGTTGTCATGTTGATTGACGACAACTAGTGTCCAGGAGGAATGCCCAGTCACCGTTCCTATTCAACTTCCTTACAAACATACTAATGGACATAACCTTTGATACGTCTGATTTCTCAGGTGTTTGTCTACTCGCTGGAGGTCAACTAGTTGGCTTGGAGTATGCAGACGATATTTTCCTGTTAGATGAAGACGTTGACCAAATGCAGGGTCTTCTGGAAGTGTTGAGCAGATACCGGAATATGTTTAGCATGAGTTTCACTGACACCTGTCAAATGTAAGATGATGCTGTAGGAATGTTTGGCTGCCAGTACTCACAGTTCAGTAATAGGAATTGAGGAGGTAGAATGAGTCTACCACTTTAATTACTTTGAGAGTTGCATCAACCCATCTAACGGGCTGGTACCTGACAAAATCTCAGCCTGGATCCAGACGGCACTTGCCAAATTGTGTCATCTCTGGAGCCGACTGCCAAGACATTAGACTAGTTATTAAAAGACTACAAAACTGCGCTGCAATCCCTTCCCTGCTATAATACGGCTGTAAGACAGCCGTTAAAAGTAGAAGACATGAAGAGATCACATGGTTTTGATCACATGTCACCGTAGCAATGCTCGCGTTTGGTAAACTCACTGTGTGAGGGATGTTAAGATCAGGCGAAGGGTTTCAAGCAAGATGGGCAAGTCGATTGATGAGATTGTTAACCTCAATCGATTGAGATGGCTAGGACACGCGCTATGCAGACCCACTCACTGCCTACATCAATGTATCATGCCAGAGGAAGTTGGATTAGGTTGGAAGAGGTTCCAGGTTAGCCAGAATAAGACCTGCCACAAGTCCATGAAGTCCCTACTTGTTGGTCGGAGTCACATGACTGACTGAGGTCTCGGAGATTATAGGAATAAGTGGTTGGGGACTATATCTTGGTGGCGTAGCTGAAAACCGACCACAATGGCGCAGATGTATTCACTCTCTGACACCTTTTAATGCTTGAATATCCACACTAACCATTGTCTTCGGATTTTTTATTCTCTACTTCGATATCACTCTTTTCTATCCACTTGTTCCTTAAATACAACTTTAGAGTATGGTAACTTCAGCTAATGTACTTTTGTACGAAGTTTAATGTTCAGAATATCTTCCGAGAACATTCTACAGCACAATAACGATAAACCAGTAGTATATGCTAATTGCCAGGAAAAGTGTCAGAAGAGTTGGAAAAACTTAGAATATATGAGGATAGAAGGGTACTGACATAAATAAGATCAAAATATCTCACTACTGCAGAACATCACCAGACTGATGTAAGAATAAATGTCCTTCAATAGTGATAACAGTACTTTTAGTCAAAAACTTTTGAGGGAACAGCGCACCTTTCAGGAAGCCTAAACATTTAAATCCGACGTGAAATCATGCCGACAAATCTAAAGAGAACTTATGGTCAAAGATTGCGAAATACCACTGTTTACCAAGAAGCACATCCCGAAATGTCTGTATTTAAACTCATCTAGGCGCCTAATTATCGCCATTAGTCTGGTCGCTAATTTTCCTTTAAGTCATCTTGTGGAATATTTCATTAATGCTTCCAACATAGGCTCACGATATCATGTATTTTTAGTCTCTTGTCGACAGTCGTCTTAGCAGCTATTGAGCTCGTTGGTGCATGTCATTTTACATGTCTAAAGGTATTTACTTGAATATACTTGGCTTATTGGGTAACCACATGAAAATAGCATATCCTGAGCATGTAACAATAAGACGTCATAACATTCATCCTATGTAAGTTTAGTCAGAGTTTATGTTTACTACCGATATAGCCTTAATATACTGTCAGACTTTGAGGTAGTGGTCTCATTCTCCATTGGAAACTCTATCAAAATAATCCGACAAGGCACAAATATTTTTTTCAAGATAAGATTTGGTTTACCCTGAAAAGTAATGCTCGCCAAAGAAAAGTATGACTGGAAAAACACTAAAGAGGGTTAAAATCAAACAAGTTATGAGTACCAAAGTTTTCTGAATGTTGGTCTTAGGTGTGAATGCTAGTAGAGACTTGCGAGTTACAGTTGGAGTGACAGTGTTAACCAGCGGTTTCAAATTCTACCTGATGCTGTTTAAAATCGGTCTCAGTGGTGCAAACATATCAGCATCTCATCTCCGTTCTAATAAGCACATAGTATTTTACAATTAAACCGATCGCTTGTTCTTCCATTTACCTGACTGTCTGCGATGTACCTTTATCCGTCTTTTACCTCAATTTTTGTAACTTTATTTGCTGGTGCGAGTTATGGTAACTTGAACCGTTACGCAGCACTGTTACATCTCTTGTAGACAATCACCAACTAATTGAAATAAATAACAAATTTTGAGGATCATATGACAGAATTTTCCCAAATACTTTGGTTTTGGATAATGAAGGCCACTGAGAAATCACTTTTTTAAATAACCATATGACTAAATGAGCAAAGTATTAAAAATGCGAACCATTTGAAATTTACTAAACTTTACAGCCCAAATACTGCAAAATTTCTATTCACAAAAAGGTTTTATTTAACTAATATCCCTTGGGCAATAGTAAAAATAGCAGACAAGGATATTTGTTGCAGTTCATGCTACTAGTATTTGAATGGAGACTCTGTTTGATGCTTTCATTATCATGTAACAGTTGGTATTAATGCTGAGCTGAAGTTCAATACTTTTAGTCACTACCTAAAGATGTTTTCCGTAGTTCGATATCTTACTCCTCTCGGACGTGAAACTGAATTTTACAGGAATTGAAACCAAACCAATAATGAGTGACTTGATCTAACAGGAAATTTAATTAAATTAAATGACGAGAACTCAAGTAACCAAGAGAATTCTAGTAAAAGTATTTCGGAATGTGGAGGTAAAAACCAGTATTTGTTGTAAGTACCACGTATATATAACTATGCACAAAAGAATGCAAAGTCTGTCTGCCAGTGTGTGCCACCCAACTGACATAGTCCTTAAGTTAAAACTATTCACTTTAGTTCTGTTCTCCAGTAAGAAGCTTTGAACTAACGTAGGAAAGAGCTGGAGTTTGTCCTTAACAGTCCAAGCATCACATAGTCATATCGGTCTACAAAATATAACAGTAGTATCTAGCTCCTTTTCTTATACCCGAGACTGCTTACAGATATTTGGAATAATAACATACTTCAAGTGACATTTCGAGTATCTTCCATTTTAAGTACGAATATAATCTTTCTGATGTTTCGAACACTCGTCTTGTGTCCGATATCCAATATTCGTAGTGAGACTATGGAAGACTGATAGATTTTGAACTTTCACATTTAAAAAGCCAATAGTTTCGTCAAGCTAAATAGGGTACAGGTGAGTCAAGCTTTGGGTCGTGAATCTAAAGTGTTTTTCATATGAAGTCAAACATTTGATCACCATCTAAGTTTGGCCAAACGCTGTGCCATTTAGGAGAATGAAGAGCCATCTATTATGTGTCGAGCCACGTACTAAGCTAAGTAAAACACTTAGGTTAAGACGTAAGGCCAGTTGGCACTTAAATACAGATTAATGGACCCATTTTGCGAGAAATATCAGGACAGAAATGGGACAAACATTGCATAATCCTAAGTCAGACCACAATTTTGGCTGAATGTCTTTCATAATGAGTGGCTCAGAACTGTTTTATTAGGTTCAACGAAAATACTGACTGCGTAGGGCTTGAGGCCTGACTCTTGTTTTGATATGAGATGGAGGTGTAGCAGATAAACACTGGTTAAGGCTACTCATGACTATGTTACAGCTAAAAAGTTTGAAATTAACGAAAAATATGCAATTAAAACATCTGATAAAACATTGTGGAATTTAAAAGACAAGCTTAGAAACACATTCTTACTTTGAAAAAGAGGGAAGAAATTCAATATACAATACGTTTATTCCAATGTCCAATATTCCAATATTTATAGTACGAGCGTAGAAAACTGATGGTTTTTTGTCTCTCGTATCTACTTCTTCAGGCTTGGTTCGAGTTCTTCGGTTCACTCCTGCAGTCGACGAAGAAATCCCCTCTGCATTCTTGCTTTACCCCAGGTGAGGTTGATGTTGTGTAGGTTACTAAGTTGTAATTTGTAGAGTGATTGGAGAGCTACCGGTTGCTGGGGAGGTTAGGGGACTGTCGTGACTCCTGTCAGCGTAAGGACCCGAAAAAGAATAGTAAGGTGGTGGTAAAGAACGAAAAGAGTGAGGAATAAAGAAAAGAAAGAAAAAAGGAGAAATGGAGGGGATGAAGAAGAGAGATAAAAGGCAGAAAAGTACGTAGAAAGTGCCCGAATGGTAAAAATAGATAGCGTAGATTTAGTTCTCACAGAAGAATCAGTAAGCAATATGGCGTATTGCGGAGCGAGATAGTGAGCGGTAGGTAGGGTGTGGGGTGGGCTAATGAGGTTGGCAACTCCCTGAGTTCGTCCGTGGTAAACCGCTCAAGGTAACGTAACTGCTTAACCGTCTCTTAAGTGAGTCAGCTGAGTGTAGACCTATTAATTTTTTTGCGCCCACTTCCGAGTCTTCCGGAAGACCTGTTTTATATTCAGATTTCTCATTTGTAATTTGTGGTTAGAAAGTGCATGATTCTATGCTTATTTTTTCACACAGATACTCCAGATCCGTGGAGTCCATGAGCACCCATCAGGATCTAATCCCTCTCATATCTTAGCTTGAACGCGACTTTAAGCAACCAAACTTGTTTTCAGTGAAGGCCGTCTCCTGTTTGTTCACTAACCATTGCTGAGTAGGGTGACTTCTGACATGTCTTCCGGTAAGAGCTGGTCTGTCGAACTTTGTTCCTTGCCAAGGCCACGTTCGAAACTTTTATAAGGCTCTGGGTTTCTACTTTCCTCCTCCCTACGGAACGTTACAGACCTACCAACCAGGCCTACTTTACCTCTGCTCTGCGGAGTGATGACAGTTGGTACGATGACCGTTACTGCCTCTTTGGCATGCCATCTAGACTTGATTTCCTTCCATTCCGTCTGCTGGCTGGCCTCGCATATGAAGATTCACTCAAGGAGCTGAACCTCTCCACTTCATTCCATCGCACACAGAGGGGAGATCTAATCATACTACAAACGGTCCTAAGAAACGACTTCGAACCTGACCTATCTTCTCTTTTCCCTCCCACTGGGTCGGAATACCTCAGAGCACATAGTAGGAGGATGCTAAAGCAAGGAGCGGACATGCTCTCAGCAGAGTACTGGTTCTCGCGTCACGTAATCGACACCTGGAACCAACTTCCAGAAGAGGTGGTATCTGTATCACCAACTGACTTGTTCGAAAGGGGATTGGACAAGCACAAAAACCTACTGGGAAAGGATTGATGTAGGCTCACAGCCTCCTGTCCTCACACAAAAAGTCTGAGTCTGAAATTCCCTTCCAATAGGTTTGTTATGTATTTTATGAGCTTTTATAAACTAGTCAGTTTCTTTGCACTCACTTCTAGGACTTGTGGGATTTCGACGTAGCGGTTTGTTTCACTCAGTCACCACATTTCCAGCAACCCCATCGGGTGGTCGTGTAGCCACTATATTTGTAAGAAAATGCACGCCTCATCCTGGGACTGTGAAGCAAACTGGTTCTTCATATGCTGTGTTAACAAATAGTTACTCACGCTGGTCGTGGAAGGAAGATAAGGAGATTCGGGGATAACGAAGAAACAAAGGCATGCGGAATGGAGGAAAAGAGGAAGAAACTAGTAAATTGAAGAAAAATCTATGCGAATTTAAAGAAATAGGAGATGGAATGGTAATAGAGAATTCAGTTGTGTTTAAACCGCAAGGGATGAGAAAGAAGGGAAGGAGCGGGAAAACTTATGTTAGGCATAGCGGAGCTTGAAACGATAATGATGGTGAGGTGGCAACTGGTGAGATCATATGTCCAGTAAGGAAGCTGAATAATGAATGGATTCCATAGCGGTAACGGCAATGCTAGAATCAGTATGAAGGTGACAGACAGTGCTGAAATGGTGCAACTTTAGTTGTTTGCTTCAGTTCATTCTGTTTCCATACTGCATAAAAAAGTGAATATGCTCTCCTGGGTCAGTCAACTGATAACTCTGACACCATATGTTCAGGGAGTTGGTCCCAATAGTTAATTCCACCATCCGAAAACCAGCATCCTTCGAGGATAACATTTGTCCTTGACTTTTCCGTCTTGTTATTTCCTCCGAGATATTCTGACCGAGTGAGAAAAAACAGAAGACAGATCAGGTCTACGGTTATTTATTAAAATTATGTATAAGACTATTAAAACTCGGGTCTGTCCGTTAGATGATAACGAAACGCTTAGCTCCTGGAGTCACTTTTCATAGGCCATGCTAACCTTCGTAGAGATCACACAAGTAGGTGTCCTCTGAACTACTTACAGAGGGCCTAAGTTACCATCAAACGACGACCCACCACTCATGCACAGTTTCCTAGTCGCCTGGTCGCCCGCAGCTAGGCTGAGACCTGTCACCTTGCATTCCAATTGGCAGCGTAGCGTTTCACATGCATCATTTCCGTTTGCGGCAGTGTCTACAGGGAGAAAACAATCTTTCCCCTTCCCTTCTAGACCTCGTAAAGTGGTTATGGGTGTTTGAAGGATTCCGGTGCAATGAATAAACGCGCTTTCCTTGTGTAGCAATAATAAACTAGTTCGATGGGCTGGCGTTTCTTAAAATTGTCGGGGGATGAATGATTCGCCCAGGAATTGTTGCGGTGGTGCGTTCTCAAATGTAGTGTCGCCAAATCGCACGGACTTGTTAGGAAAAGATAAGAGGATCCGGGAGATGATCAAAAATGGTGAAATAAGTAACAAAAGGCAGGAAAAATTTAAATAAATGTAGGCGGGATGAAGAAATAACAATCGCAAGAATACGAACAAGTCCAGTTAGATGAGAGGATGTGTGGAAAGCATGAATGCTGGAGATAATAACAGTTAAGACACTTCATGAGGATATGACTGAGTACAGGGATAGAATGACTGGGCCTTTTTAGAAGATTGTCAGTTTGGGGCATGTCAGTGATAGTGATAGCCACAAACAGTGTGTCGGAATGAAGGTTCAACACTTTGAATTGGAACCACGAAACGTCCCTGCCTCAGCCCCCGCCGTATATCAACTGTATGAGGGCAACCCAAGTGTCTCTGAGTGGCAGTGTTGACTTATTGTTAAGGCTGTCGACAAATGAAGGTGTGCTTATATCGGTAGACAGCCGGTGCTGTAGACTCGGATGGCAAACAGTTGTGGTCGCACATTGTTTTTCTATCAAAGTTCCAATGAGGACCGCCATAGTGGCCGACAGATTTTATTCCGCCATTCAAAAACCTCATCAAGCTGTGAGCTATTGGCAGGACCCCGCCAACGTTGCGGCAAATAAGCCTAGATCCTTCAGCCTATTCCCGTGTACCAAACGACCTTCATGACTCTTATCTGAAACTTCCTTAGGAGATTTAGGTCCCTTTCCACGTTGTCCGGAGTAAGAAAATCGTGTGCTTCCAGTTGAGGCCCTGTATACTGCAATAGAGAGCTTCCAGTTTAAGGCTTCTATTTGTCCCTACACAAAGTGTAGCATCCCGCAGACCATGAAGGCACCTCATGAATAATGGGAATAAGTATCTGGATGACCAGTCGCCGCTGCACACAGATACTTCTCTGTGATCATATCAGCTTGATGTGTACTACAGAGATTTCAGGGGACTCTGTGCTAGTCACGAGTGGGGTTAAGCGTCGTTCACCATTTACCCAGATTTATCCCAGTCCATAGCCTTTACATGACTCCCTGCATGTCCTGAGGTTTTCCTGCAGTGTTTTCGCACCCTTTTTGGGGCTGACATTTCTCCACAATAACTTCAGCCCGCGTAGGAAAGGAAGAACTATGATTCAACGAAAGGTCATTCGTAGGTAAAAAATAGAAACTCATCCAGGGATTTCTCTTCGTCAGACACTTAAGGATGATGCTGTTTGGGTTGAGTATACCGATGTCGACTTTAGTGTTGAGTCCCCTGCCGATTAAATCACTTTTAAATAGGATGACCACTGGCTGCCAATACCCGGCCGAATGATTCTCAGCGGAAGGATATCGTGTGGATCGATGCCAGCGGCCTTAGCTGGATGAAAATGACGTACAGCACAACTCAAAAGCCCCCAGGATGCCGCCCGGTCGCAACTCGTCGTCAGAAGGTTAGAGGGGTAGGCTCCCGAATTGTGGAGGCCATGTCAGGCCCCTCAGAGGCGTCCTTTTTTGTCCCATTATTTCCCGATGCAACTGAAATTTATCCTTCGCATTACTTTAGGCTCATTGGTGATACGGTTCGATAGCGCTTAGGAACCCACTGGTCAGCGGGTGGTATGGCACGTGACCACTGTTCTGAAGGTTGTTGTTTACCTTATAAGTGAGAAAGTTTATCACATAAACGGTAACATCAAGTCATCAATGTATGATTCTTAGATGGCCAGGCGAATGTCACCTAGCCCTAATGATTCCGAGTTGACATCCATCATAACTGATGTAGGTTTGATTTCCCTGAACAAAAAGTTCAAAAAATTTCAAGAATCATTCCAGTAGTTAGATGACAGAGTGTGAGTGGTACGTCAGGAATGGTGAGGCTACAGTGGTTAAATTTCACGCCAACAGACAGTTGTTTGGATTGATCAAGAGGACCAGAAAAGGTAAAAGCCTTAGAGTAGTAGGAGGATGAGTTCAGGAAGGGAAGTCGACTTCAGAGGCAAAATATGAACTATACGTTCAACTAAAAGCCGAAAGTACATTGATGTACTTTAATAGACCAGTAATTACCCAAATCATCCGCCACCTTATATGGAAGCTGTGTGCAGTATCTGACGCGCGCAAAAGCAAGTCACTTAACTACGGTAACCGGTATCTATTTGGCCAC